GCGTAAATACGTAGTTGCCCGTTAGAAGAAATGCGTTGGCAAATTATATATTTACCGTTATGTATATGCCCATATAGGTCTTAGATAACTACGCAGTACGCATTATGTATCTTTTTGATCACATTTATGTTTTGCCAACATCATTATGCATAAAAAATACAATTCAGACTCTATCTTTTGGTATTGTTCCTTTACGACAAGTAACATATTTATAGATCATCAAATTATTAATTAGTTTCCAAAAACTATTAAATCATGTTTAGGTAAGAATAATAAATTAATTATTACAAAAACAAGGAGATTTGGAGGTCTTAAAACTATATTATGATCAAAAAGATAAACACTCTTGCACGCACAAAAATTGGAAAAACAAAATTCATAAACTACTAATTTACATAGATTTTGTAGTATTCTAATGGTTCGTATCAATACCACTGTTTGTGCCATAACTTGTATTACACGCACGTGTTAATGACCAGGAAAAACCATTAAAACTCAATGTAAATGTACATTTCACTAATGATATTCTTCGTCACTACCAAGTACCAACGTCAGAACGTAGTACAAGCAATGTTTAACCTTTACTTGCATGTTTAATTACTTTCATAGTTCTATAATATTTAAAATTTAACCCTAGGTTTATACAAAATCATGTTCATATCCGGTTTAATCATAATACAATCTCTCTCCTTTTGAATTATACGTCAAACCTCACATCCTTCACGTTCTGCTTCTTGCGACATTCACTACACATTCACAAGATAGATAAATCAAACCTGGTTTTTTTCCTCAAAATCTTTGGATTATTTCAGGGCTCCTTACCGTTGAAAAGACATCCTACATGATCTAAGATGTGCAATTCCTTGCAAGAATTGTTGGTATGTTTCAGTTTCATGATATTAATCGAAAACATAAGAATTCTTTCAATGTATAATGGCCTTAATAACACTTTTATCAACTTTAAATATTTTGAGATACAGAGATAGTAGGCATGTTCTTTTGCCTCACGCTGCGTGTCGCGTCAGCGGCCAAAAAAATATAATTAAAATACTAGTTGCTTGCCGCTCAAGATTGTGGAGAGTGATGGCTATGTTGATTTTTATGACGCAGCGTGACGTTTTTTCCTCTGCCGCTATCGCTGGAAAATTCAGCGTCACCTTTTAACACCAATACGTCTTAATCTATTATGTCCAGCGACACCTCTTAATCTCCACCACCGTTGCTTACCATCGTTTTGCTCTATGTTTGACTACGGTGCTCACCGTTTTTGTTCGTCGCTGCTGCGTTAGCAGCGTCAAGCTAAAGAACATGCCTAGTGTTTCTTCAATGTACCGCACACCACGAGTTTAAACTCATGACAGACATTTCAGAAAATATCCTAACTTGTGAGACTGTAGAATCGATGACCTCAAATTTTGGGAGTTTTTTACAAGTAATTAGTAATTGTGCGTAAAGGTAATATAAAGTTTACATACCCTACAAAATAACCAGCATCACTACACTAACCATACATGTAACAGCTAAGAAGAGCAAACCATTACCTTTCTTTCTCGTGATTGTTTCTTTTTCTATTTCTCAATGATGATTCGGCGAATTAATTGACAAAAAAAAACTGAAATTAGGAATTATAATGAGCTTAGAAGTGGAACAATAGCATGATCATAGGTTAAGAGGATCAACTTCAGAGTTTCGTTCCTTCATTGGACTCCAATCTCCTGCCTCTGCAATAAACATAGAGTGCTTTAACTAGAACATTCCTTATTTACCACAAAACTAATACTTCATATATAAATAGCCCTAGTTTCTTTAAGAGTTTCTGATTATATACGCGTATAATATAAGAGCGTTAGAGAAGAAGAGTATGGTAGAGAACGGAACGCACTTGCCTTTTCGGAGATGACCATAAGCCGCCGTTGTAATATGGAGGCTACAAAGAGGAATATTGAGCACATACCAAACATGATTGTGATCGGAAATGCGTCCACCTGCGGAAACAATTTTTTCTCATTAGCTTTTTTCTATTTCTCTTATTGTTTAAAGAGGAAGCTGATGAAAGGACTTAATTCTTACGTTGTACAAGACGATGCAGACAAATATGTTGAGCGGAACACGGAAGAAATTCATTATGGTGCTTCGTGCTTCTTCTGGGATATACTGTGATCTCATCTTCATCATTGATGGCCAAAAAATTCCCACACAAGCCTCAAAAACACAGAAACCAAGCAGCTGAATGGAGCTAGTTAGCGACAAGCCTTCGTCTTTCACCTTTGACGGCGTCACCAAGACCTGTGCCACACGTTACTATAGAGTCAATGTGCATATAAGAGATTGTATAGAGTTATAGAAACAACGAAGCTTCAGACTCTGAGACATACGCTTGTCGTGATGGGAAGAAGAAGAGAAGCAGCAGAGACTAGAAAGACGATTTGCATGTAGTTTTCGACTCTGAGAGATGAGCGAGACATGAGACGAGCTGCAAGAGAGCTTCCCAACATTGAGGCCAACATGAAGGTTGCAAAGACGAAGCCATGTGGAATTTCTTCGTCGTTTGGGCTGAGAGCTGGTGTCCAGAGGAAAACAAATGTGTACATTGAGGCTTCAAATAGAGATTGAATAGCACCCAGCAATGCAATCTTTTCATCTGAGAAATCACCATAGACTGTGTTAGAGATAATGAGGAAACATAGCTTGCAAATTTTACGCGGGATTGGACGGATGGATACAGAGTATATTGAGAAGTTGCAGAAGTTTTAACGCTCAATTTGAACCTGCCTGAAGCAATTGCTATGGTAGCAACTTTGAACTGAGTCAGCAAGTCTTTGCTGTCAGATGGATCTCCGAAATTTTCAGACCACGTTGCCAATATGATGGCCATTCCAATTGCAAGAAAGCACGCAGCAGCGTCAAAGGGAGCAACAGGACCTAAGGAAAAAGTGTCGACAAGAAGATTTCCAAACAAGCCGGAGAGAATAGCCACCAGACCATTCCCAAGGAAAACAGCCTTAGAGAAGGTCAGTGAAAGCCACTGTTGGTCAAAGTTCCTCTGTGCATAGTCGTTCAGAAAACCAAAAAAATTCACATCAGTCGTGGCTAAAACTAAGAAAAGCCTTCAGAAGCTCCCAAGTCTCGAAATGATAGTTTCGAGATACTACGGAATTTACAGCCATCGACAATTGACAGGACCTCACTGAAAGCTTTGATCTAGACACATTTGATCAAACCAAATTATGACCCTATTTACACTAATCGAGAAACAAACATGGTTTGGAGGAAAACTATGTTTTTATCAAACCATCGACAAGTATCCAAGGGAATCTCCACAGGAATCAAACTAACAAAATACAGTTCGAATACCTAGACTGACTAATATGCACATGACGATAAGAGTAATAAAACAAAGGCTTACCTTGTTGTGCTCTGCAATGAGCCAAGATTCGAAAGCTGAATTCAAGAGAGATGTAGCAATACCACCCAAGATACGGCCGACCATCAAAACTCTGTACTGTGGAGAGTGCTTGGTGATGCAGCTTAGTATGTAAGTTATGCAGTATGTAACACATGCCCTCTTTCGACCCCTAAATAAAAAACACACAAAGTTGCCTAAACATAGTTCTCCTCTGATAATTCAAACTTGAACTTGAAAGGAAGGAATGCTCACTGTTTGTCAGCCAGAGATCCAACAATGGTTCCAAACAACATTGACGAACCAAAACCGGCAATGAATAGCTGACCGATATCTCGTTTTCCGTAACCATAAGTGCTGTAAAGGTAATACACATAAGGACCCTGAAGCCAGTCCCCAGCTGCAGCAACACAAATCATAAATAGTGTATCAAGCATGGATTGATCCATTAATGCATTCCAAGAACAACATACTAACATCAATTATTGCTACAAGCCTATAAAACAAAAAATCCAACATCAATTATTTCTGTTTCTGGATTCGATCTAGTACCCAAGTCGATGACGCTTAAACGAAAAGAAGACCTCAAGTACTACTTAGATCAGATCCATAACAGGATAAACCAATGAAATTGCAGGTGCCGATGAATCACAGGGCTGATTCCGCTGTGTAATTTCACAAGGAATTCGAGAACGCATGTGTATAAACGAGTTTTGCATTATCAAGAAATTGCGATAATGGCGAAGAGACGTACCCATCATAATCGAGAAAACAACGAGGTAATTGTTCTTGAAGGAATTGAAGGAAGAAGAAGTGTTGATCCGATCCTTGTTTGTTTTGCTTAGCTCCAACGCTGCCACTACGGCAGCCATGGCTCCGAAGACCAAGTAGTAGAAAACCTCCATTGTTGCTTCTCTCTCTCACTCGCTCTCAGAGTTACGGAGGAGGAGGAGAAGAAGAAAATGTCAAAAAGTGGAGTGTGGGATTGTACCAAACCAATTTCACCACGACGAGTAAGGAAATTATCCTCTACAACGCGGTTACCGTACACGTACGCGTGAGTGGCACCAACGAGTCAAATCAAAGACTCAGACTGAAACAGAGTCTCCCAACATAAGTGATCCACTGCGTTTTGGTAAAGTAAAAAGCCCAAACGAATATAAAACCCATTAAGCCTACGAGGAAGCATGTTTATTGGTAAGCCTTTAAGAGTATCATGGGCTTAAAAATAATTTAAAAACTAATTTTTGGGCTGATTTTTGCGTGAGTCGTATCGTCTGGTTGATCCGGTTGAGACGGATCAACGGAGACACGTGGCGCATTCTTATTGGACCAAAATTTTTGGGGTTGGGGCAAACACAAAAAAAAACTTTCATTTTCGGGATTCTTCTTCTCTCTCGCAGTCTCTTATCTGTTGGGCGATTGACGGCGACTCGCACGACGAATCCAATGGTGAATCCGACGGCGAATCGTCTTCTCTTTGATGGCGCATGTCTCGAATCTTCTTTGATGAAATATAGGTCGATTATAGTTTCGTTAGATGATAGGTTGGGATCTGGGCATATGAAAGTTGTTGGATCTTAGCTTTGTTAGCCTCGAATTACGACGAATATGTAAGGATTCTTGTAGGCTGGTGATTCGTTATTTTTTGTTTATACACAGGTTAAGGTTAAAGAAGAAGGTCAACCTGAATCCGTAGATTGTCGAGTTTTCTTCCTCGATGGTTCCGGAAAGAAGGTATATTTTACTTCTCCTTCGTTTTGTGTTTTTCTCTGTGTTAAAAGTCAAAGCTTGGTTTCTCTGTTTTACC